ATCGGCATCAAGGGAAGACACGCAGGAATTGACGTCAGTAAGGAAAGCCGTTATTAATGCGGATGATAACACCAGGGAGATGCTCAGGGACTAGACCAGAACTGTCTCAGGAAGGGGTGGGTAAGAAATGCTTTTCTATGCAGAGACTGTGGGAGAGGTGGCTGTGTGAAAAGTAAGGGGGGAGGGGTGGTAACAAAAACCGCAGTGTGGAAGTCTTTTTTCTTTTTCTTTTTAAATTTATTGATTTGAGAGAAACATCGATTTGTTGTTCCATTTATTCCGGCATTCATTGGTTGACTCTTGTATGTGCCCTGACCAGGGACCAACCCATAACCTTGGTGTATCAGTACAATGCTCTAACCCAGCCGTGGGCAAACTACGGCCCGCGGGCCGGATCCGCCCGTTTGAAATGAATAAAACTAAAAAAAAAAAAAAGACCATACCCTTTTATGTAATGATGTTTACTTTGAATTTATATTAGTTCACACAAACACTCCATCCATGCTTTTGTTCCGGCCCTCCGGTCCAGTTTAAGAACCCATTGTGGCCCTAGAGTCAAAAAGTTTGCCCACCCCTGCAACCCAATGGTTGGCAAACCGTGGCTCACGAGCCACATGCGGCTCTTTGGCCCCTTGAGTGTGGCTCTTCCACAAAATACCACGTGCGGGCGCGCACGTACAATGGGATTGAAACTTCGTGGCTCGTGCGCAGAAGTCGGTTTTCGGCTTGGGCGAGTCTATTTTGAAGAAGTGGCGTTAGAAGAAGTGGGGGGTGTCGGGAGACAGGGCGAAGGTGGGCCTTGGGATATGCAGCGCGGGGGAGGCGCCAAATATCAACAGTACTTAAACTATATAGGTAGGTTAATAACAATGTACCTACCTATATAGTTTAAGTTTAAAAAATTTGGCTCTCAAAAGAAATTTCAATCATTGTACTGTTGATATTTGGCTCTGTTAACTAATAAGTTTGCTGACCACTACTCTAACCAACTGAGCTACCTAGGGAGGGACTTGGAAGTCTTGAAACTTAAAAAAGAAAAAAACACCCTGTCAAACTTTCCACTAACAGGTGAGTTGAAGCATGAAATGTTGGCTGTACTCAGGCCCCATGAGCAAAGAAGTTAGAGTGTAGGAAGGTCACATAGAATTTAGTGCCTAGCTGTCCTAGTCAAGCCAACTGAAAGGTACGTTAAACACAAAGTTTTGATCAACCTTGCCAAGAAATTGATTTTTACTTCTCCTCTGTGCAGTAGGCTCAAAAATGGACCCCAAAGATATTGGGTCTTAATTCTTGGAGCCTGTAAATGTTCACTGACACGGCAAAGATTTTGCAAATGTGATCAAATTAAGGATCCTGGCAGGAGAGATGATCTGGGTGGGCCCTAAGTGCAATCGTAAGTGTTTTTATAAGGAAATGGAGGGAAGTTTGACACGGGCAGAAAAGGAGAGGAAACCATGGCAACAGCGGCAGAGATTGGGATGATGTGGCCACAAGTCACAGAGTGCCTGGAGCCACCAGGAGCATAGGAGAAGAGAACTACGCTCTCCCCTAGAGCCGCCAGACAGTGCAACACCTGGTTTTCAGCCCAGGTGATGCTTATTTTGGACTTCCGACCTCCATAGCAGTGAGAGAATAAATTCCTGTTGTTTGAGGCCATCGAGTTTGTTGGGATTTGTCACAGAGACCATAGGAAACTAATATACCTTATTTCATGAGGTCTTGTTCAGATTGGAGGAAAAGATCCTCTGGCATCCAAAGAAGAGTGTGGATTATAGTTTTAGGAGTGTGGAGAGATCCCTCTAGGTCAGTGCCTTGGTTATCTACTGCACCAAGAGGCTTTGTCATATCCCATCCATATATATAAAAGGCTTCTATATATATAAAAGGCTAAGCAACCGGCTGACTGGCCAGTAGCTATGATGCACACTGACCACCAGGGGGCAGACGCTCAACGCAGAAGCTGCTGAGCTACAGTGACTTTGCAGAGTGCCCTCTCTCACTCTGGGACCCCTTGGGGGTTGTCAGACTGCTGGTTTCGGCGCAACCCCCTGCAGGCCAGGCTGAGGGACCCCACTGGTGCACGAATCCATGCACTGGGCCTCTACTTTAAATATATTGGTCATGGCTGTACTCATTTACTGTAAAAACAAGATTAGTTGAGTTAATATCAGATTTTAAAATGGAAAGGCTAAACTTTAAAAAAGCCATTGGTAAAGTTACATGTATGATGTGTCTAAGTAAATGCATGAACTACAAGAGAGGACAAAGAGTTTAATTAATTCTTGTTGAGTGATTTACTTAACGAATTGGCTGACTGTTTAACCCTATAGAAAAAAAGCAAGGTTACAGTAGTTCAGAAAAGTAAGTTATTTTATAAATGACTTCATATGAACATCTAATCATAACAGGCTCTTTTCCATAAAAATATAAATGGTAATAGGTAATAAGCCACTTTACAAGTGGACAGTTTTCTGGATAATGTTTTTAATATATATACTTCAGAGAGGAAGGGAGAGGGAGAGATAGAAACATCAACGATGAGAGAGAATCATTAATCGGCTGCCTCCTGCATGCCCCCTACTGGGGATCAAGCCCACAACCAGGGTATATGCCCTTGACTGGAATTGAACCTGGGACTCTTCAGTCCACAGGCTGGCGCTCTATCCACTGAGCCAAACCAGCTAGGGCTCTGGATAATGTCTTTTAAGAGTAAGTTTGGCTTAGTGAATTTCAACAAATTGACAGGGGAGGTTATAATGGGGAAGGTTTTAAGTGGCCTCATGGTCTTGAATACCACCACACTAGATTTGTTCATTCCCCTATGGTTAAAAACTTCCAGAGATGAAGTAAAGAATTCTATCCTGTTTTCCTATTGAGCAAAAGTAATCTATTCAGATGCACACAAGAAGATACTTTCACAGACACTGCATTTTAAATGGGAATCGGGAAGTTCTGCCAACTGCATTTTATCAAAGGCAGGGCTCAGGTTTGGTTGCTTGACTAAAACGTGACCATTTTAATAATTAGCACTCATCAAAGTTATGTGGCCATGGAAATGGGGATAGAAGAAGAAAAGGAACACGATAGTAACAACCCATTTCTGTCATGCATTACTTAGCAGATTACGTATAAATCGATGTCATGAGTTGGAGCAGTACCTTCCACTCTCTTGCCTTAATGACTTTCTCCTGTATTTCTCCTGATTTAGGTATTTCTTGGTTTGACTTTAGGTTTTGAGCATATTTGCAATAAAGAGAGTCCATTTTTTGTTTCATTGTGTTTGTATCACATCCCAAGAAACAAAGGGGATGCCATTCTTTGGAGCGGCACCTGCCACACAGCCTACGGTGAGGCCATTGCCTAAGGTGCAGGCGTTCGTGCAGTAGCAGGTTTTTCCACCCTGTGCAATCTTATGGGGCTGTGACCCAAGGGAACTGTAAAGCCCACGTGATAGAATAACTTGGATTTCTTGTGATGGGCTGAGTAAACAAAAGAACAGTGCTAGGTTCTATATGACTATTGTACTCTGACCTATAAAAGAAAACTCTGTAGAATCCACCTCAAAACAGTCAGAACCTCCTGAATGGCTACCAATTTCTTTTGCCTCCACTTCCCACCTAGGACAAAGCAGAGAAACCCAAATATTCTCCCCAAACCAATCACAGGAAATGCTCCATGCCTAGTCGTTCCTCCTACATCTTCTCCAAGACACCAGCCTTTAATCAGGGCTTAGGGAAGCTTCCTTGTTTTTTCATTATAAAGCTTCTCCTCACCCCCAACTGGCTTTGAATTGTCTCCCTTGTTTTCATGTGGGTGGTCTTCCACTTGCGTTGACTGCCTTAATTTTTTAAAAAAGAAAAACAAAACAAAACTCCAGCCATATGCAAAACATTGTGCTTTGTAACCACTTCAGAACTTTCATTCCTAGTGGTGTTTGAGAGGAAAGAGATTCTAATTCAAAGGACATAAGTGAAATTTTTAATAAATTGGTTTTCAAAATATTTATTAATTTGTGCTTCTGCAGGCTCTCAATTGAATTTTAACTAAGAATTTACAAGTTGGCATGCACTATGACTCCAGATAATAATAAAGATATGCCTAGAAAAGAGTCTAGGGAGGGGACGAGGGATGTTTATTTTCTAAAATATATTTTCTACAATGAATATGTTTCTTAAATAATTTTAAAAAGAAACTTTTAAAAACATTTCTGAATTAATATCTTTAAATATATTCGTGAAAGTACATTTCTTAAAGCCAAGAGAAGCACTTTGGATGCTAAGGAAGACAATGATCCATCCATAATGCCAAGAGCAGGAAAGTAAAAGCAGTCTCCGCCCTTCTCCACTGCTGTTCTCCTGATTAAGCCAAATTCTTTTGCTAATAACTCCTTCCCGTGGGTTTTCAGAAAGGCTTGAGAGGAAGAATCCCTGCCTGGGGAAGACAGGACAGGAGCACTAGGAATGCCAGCCTTCCCTGGAGACCCTCCCGTCTGTCCCCTTTCCTCCGAGGATCTGGGCCTGACCATCAGGCCTGCGTTTTGCGCATTGTCATTCCGCTAGATTCCTCCCGAACCAGCTGCGCCCACCTGTGAACAGTGAGCACATCTGTCCGCGGGCTCTTCCTGCCAGCAGCCCGCCCCGCGGTTTGCTGCGGGATAAGCAGGAACCGCTGGACCAGATGTTACTGTCTCCGCGCCCCCGAGATTTTAACCAGGACGAGGACCCGAGCGCACTCGGGTTACCCTGACATCCACCGGGGCTCGCTGTAAGCTCTCCCTGAACCACCCGCCAAGCACATGAATTCCAGGTAGTTGGTTGGTCCGGGTCCTAGGAAGGTGGGGGACTCTCCTCAGAGTTGTCCCTGGGCCCCCGCTCGCCTCCCCCGGGTCTGGGGAGGTAGGTCCGACCGAAGCCCAAGGAGTTGGGACTGCGCCGCGTCACGCGCCGGGGGTTTCAACCCCAGAGGCCCCGCCCCCGGCCGGCTCAGCCAATCGCGGCGCGGGCAGGCGTTGGGGGCGGGGCTGCCGGGCCGAAAGCCCGGGGCCTTAAAAGGCTGAGTCAGGGGCGATTGGGCCAGAACTACGGGCCGGTCGACCTTTCGAGGAGTTTATTGCGCCCGTGGAGTGCGGCCTCCCAGCTGTGGCGCCGCAGTCAGTCCGTGGCCGCGC